GGGAGGAAGAAAGTGAATGAGCGCTCGAGAAGGACAAAGAGGGAGGGGAGAAAAAGGGAGTTACCACTGTCTTGGCATCGCTCTTCCTTTCAAACCTCTGTGTAATGATATTGTTTGCAGTGATGCTCAGACAGGGAGCACCTGCTGCTCTGTAATGATTCAGCCTCTTTCAGCCGCCGCTGTAACACGACAGGATGCTGCTGCTACTGTCACTTCTGCCGCTGCCGCTGTTGTTACAGATATTGCTTTTGCTCGTACTACCGCATGACAATTGTTTTCCTCGTCTAAGCAGATACCAGCCTCAGATGCTCAAGGTGAGAGTCTTGGCTTTCGCTCTGGGCTATTGGTTCACTTAATCCGGTCAATTTGTTCAGTGTTCGTGGTTTTCTTTCTCTTGTTACCCTCCTTTCCCCTGTTTTGTTTTGTTGTGCTTGCTTTTGGGGGGATGTTTCTTTCCTCCCACAGAAGAGCTGTAATTGCTTGAGAGACATTTAAGGAATTATAAAAGTGGCCAGCAAACAGGAGCTCAGTAACAGCAAAGCTACTCTTGCTTCAGAGGGGCAGAGAGAGCAACAGAGAGCTCGGGGGCAGGGGGGAACAGGGAGAGTCTAATTTTTGCTGTGCATTACTCCTCTCCCAGTTTGGATGATGTTGCTGAGCTCGGACATTTTGTTGACTTCCCCTCTGTGATTTTTGCAGAGCACTGTGACTATTATTACCATCTCTTTTTGTCTGTGTCTCACAGTAATGGACTGTGATAGAGTTAAGGCCTTTTGGAGGTGAGCTGTTTGAAAGCTGATGCTTAAACATGTCTGAAGTAGCTGCCAACACTTTCCCCAGCCCCTCAGCTCAGCTGAGCCTTGATGCCTCCCTTGACGGGCTCCCGGCTGAGGAGAATATGCCGGGGACCCAGAGAGAGGACAGGAGGGTCCAGGGGATAGCAGGCCTTGCCACGACCTGCTGTGTGTGCCTGGAGGCAGAGCGACTGAAGGGCTGCCTCAACTCTGAAAAGATCTGCATTGCCCCTATCCTGGCTTGCCTGCTTAGCCTTTGCCTCTGCATTGCTGGCCTCAAGTGGGTCTTTGTGGACAAGATTTTTGAGTATGACTCTCCTACTCACCTTGACCCTGGAAGGATAGGACAAGACCCAAAGAGCGCTGTGGATCCTACAGCTCTGTCTGCCTGGGTGCCTTCGGAGGTGTATGCCTCACCCTTCCCCATACCTAGCCTCAAGAGCAAGGCTGAAGTGACAGTGCAAAGTGACAGCTCACTCGTGCCCTCCAAACCGTTCCTCCAGCCTTCTCTGTATAACCACATCCTAGACGTTGGGTTGTTGTCCTCTGCCACACCTTCGCTGTCACCACCTGCCCTGGAGCCTACTACAGCATCTCAGGCACAAGCAACCGAAACCAATCTCCAAACGGCTCCAAAACTTTGTAAGTAGAAGCTATGTGTTTCTTTCCTTTTCCCTCCCACAGGGGGGGGGGGGGGGAAAGGCACGTAACTGTTCTGCAGCTGTCCTCAAGGAGGACGTGATTGATGTGCAAAGCTTAAATGTGCTAAGACACGTATAACATGGATTACCTTCTGAGGAGAGCACCTAGGGGCTTCTGAACTTAGTTCTGAGGTGCGCCTGGCAATGAAGAGGGTTTCATTTGGGACCTTTGTAAAGCACTTGTCCCACCCTTTTCTCTTCAATCACTTGTAGGGAAGTATGTGATTTACTTCAAGGGTTTATCTGATAGCTATTCCACATGGTTTATCAGCATATTTTTCTTATAAATTTGATTTGCGTCCTGTGCTGGATCTTCCATGTGTGTTCATTTTATTTGCCTTGCCTGCAGAGCACTTCTGCTACCTCCTTCCTGAAGTCTGTTGCTGGCAAACATCCCTGTCATCCTCCTGAAACACTCAGGGAGAAGAGTGGGAAAGAGCGACAGCTTATTTGAAGCAGTTAAGAGACTGGGAATTATTAATTTAGCAGTTAGCTTATGATCTTTCCCTTTCTCTGAAGAGCATAGCACATATTTTTTCTGCATCTTTCCCCTCCTCTAAGAGCTGATTCTTGTTGAACCTGTTTCTCAGACATTGCTTCATTGACTTTTGTAGGGCATTTCAGGAAATCATTCTTGCTGGTGCAGGAGTGGTCAGTTTCCAAATTAGTCTTTGCTCATCCTTAAATCAAAAAGTATAAAGGATACATATTATTTTCTCAGTAAATATCATAGAACATCAAAATACCGCATTGCTGAAGTGTAATTTCTTTGACATTCGTCATTTTAACCCATCAAATCCAGAGCAGATCAAACCAGCGATTCCTGAGCTGTGTAAAATTGTTCAACTCTAGTAAAAGAGAAGGCAGCACGCCATTGTGCCAAAAGCACAGGGCTGAGGTTTCCTTTGGAAAGCTGCAGTAATCAGAATGAGCAGCTGTGTTCCTTGCAAATTGCCTTGCAGGACCCCATCTCATTTATTCTCCCTTGTGCCCTCCCTGTAATGCTGCAGCATGGCCACCTTGTAGGTGGTACATACTGGACCTCACCCTGGAGCCCTGAAGTCACCAGAAGTTCGTTATTAAGTTTAGTCTCATCAGGACTGGACTCAGTATAGATATGTGGCAATTGGATTAGATAAAACATTTTGGGCCAACCATCTTGCCGGTGAAAATAAGCATAACTACAGTGATTTCAGTGGCAGTCCTTTCAGCTGAGAGTCAGTCTGAACAGCAATACCAGAATCCCTGAAAGAAAATTTTAAGTATTCCTGTGGAAGCCCTGCTGCCTTTTGCTTAAATAATGGCTGACAACCAGCCTTTGGATTAAAAGTAATTTGTCTGATGGAAACAGTGTAATAGGGAAATATTGCTGTGTGGTTAAATGATGGGGTCTTTGTCTGTGGTAGGTAAGACATTTTACTTGAATTATTGGTAAGCTTAACCACCTTTGCAGTTATATAGAACTATAATAAGTGATCTCTTTTTTTGTCGCTGATGAAAATCTTTTGTAGTGCAAATTTCATAAGTGACTTTAAAAATATGTCAGCACCTTTTACTTCATAAAGTGACCACGGTCAAAATGGCCTCTTTTGTGCAAGAGGGAGAAGCAACCAAAAGCAAGTTATGCCAGGACAACCCTCATCCTCTTGAATTTCCACTTGTGAGGCTAGCCTTTATCATGCCAGCTTCATCTCTGAAGTAATTGGGGTGGGGGGGGGGTTAGGCAGAAATTCTTTGGAGTAGTCACTGACAAGAAGCCATTATCTGCATTCAGATCTGCTCACATCTGGAAAATAAATGGTTGTCCAGAAATTAGGTGATTGGGTTGAGTTGGGTTTTTTTTTTTCTGTTACCTTATATTTCTTAAGATAAATGTGTTTTAAGGCATCATAGTCTTCCAGATCTATACAGACCGAAAGGAGAGTGAGACCTGGCAGCAGGTCCAGTTTAGGTTGCTCTGAGGGAGAAGGTTGTGTAGACAGTATTTATTCTAACTGTGACACGTAATTCTGACTATGGCAAGGGGCTGCAGTTCCCTGCAAAGAAAAACAAGAAAATATAGGTGGAAAAGTACACTGCAGAAGATCTGCCTAAAATTCAAAGGGGCGTGAAAAGAACTTTTTGGACAGCTGTAAAAGGACTGGTTTGAGGTTTTCAAACACATCATTGTGTTTTATGTAGAGCAAGATTTGTTGGAGAGGTTGACAGATTGCATCAGTGATAACTTTTTTTTATTAATGCCTTTGACAGCTATAAAATTCTCAGAGAGATGGCTTGGAAAGTAGCATCTGCAAATTGGATTGTCCCTTCTTTTGCCTCTGTGTCCTTTTTTCCATTTCAGGCAGAGTGAGGTAACTTGTTCCCAGAAAGCCGCTTTTGTGCTGATAATTTTTTTTTTCCAGTACAGAAATAAAAAAGAACGAACACATCTCATATTCTGTGGCTGATGTATTGTTTCTGAACCAAGCCCTTCCACGAGTTTTCAAGTCCTTTTCTCTTCTCTCTTTTCTGTCTTACTCAGCATATTCCTCTTAAAGCTGTATGCTTCAAGGTCATAGTCTGCAGAGAGCTGATTGATTCTTCTTTCTCCTGGAGCCTGGGAGAGAAAGCAGAAGAGAGACAACCCTAATAATTGTGTCTGGTGCTTTAGATTCAGGACCAGTCTCACTCCTGTTATTATACTTTGCCCTTTATCAATACAGAAATAATCTCTTTCTGTTTGGTTTATGTTTTGTATTGTAATATAATTTCTCCTTTGCTGCAACAGAAAGGAAATGTGAATATTTTAAAGCATTCCCGTATTTAGGGAGCATGTCAATGTTAGTGTAATTACACCAGAGAAGATTTCAATACAAGCAGGATATGATAACCTACAATCTCCCTCCCTCTGAGAAGACATGCAGATTGTAAAAGTGCTAACACAGTTCAGGAGCTAAATTTTACTTCTTCCTGCACCACCACCTTTAAATACAATTCCACCCTTTACCCAGGCTACTAATAGATACGGCTCTGTAGTACTGTCAAAACTGTGTTTCTGTAATTAACTGCATCTGTACATCTGCAAACAAACCACTCCCCTCTTTACAAGTGTTCCCACTGCCTGCTCTTTCAGTTTAAGCAGATTTCCCCCCAAAACACCTGCAAAGGTCCATGTGGGGTTGCATTTCTGGGGTGACATGTCCCCTCATGTCATTTTAGAGTTAGGAGTGTAAAAGATGGAAAGAAAACTAGCCTGTGCCTTGTTTTGGTACCATACTGTAAATATTCCCTGCAATTTCTCTCTGCCTCTTTCACCTCTACTTGTTCTTTCTCAGTTCTGCATTTGATAGCCTTTCTCCTATACACAGTGACGTGTGAAGGTCTGTTTTACCTTTGTGGCAGGCTGGAGGGAGCCTTTCCCTCCAGTTACAGGTGCTGCAGTCCAGCTGAAGGCTTCAGTTTATGAACAGTGAGGGTTTGTTCATAGCAGCTTCACATGGTCTTTTTCCTTTTTCTTGAAACAGTCTAATTCTGACTCATGCTCTGCAGTTCAAATCCCCATCACAACACCATAGGGTTGACTCCATGCCTGGCAGTTTCTGAAAGTGTGAAGGTCAGGGATGTCTCAGAGAGCCGCAGGGGACCATACTCACAGGAGGGGAAAGCAAATGATACAGCACAGGCTATATACCAGCCTTTTCTATGCTTGCTGTTATTATGCAGGGCAGCACCACAAAGGAGATTGCTTTTTCTCCAAAGCTTGAAGATGTAGGAGGAGAGCACCTTAAAGCAGATGTTACTCCGTTTCTGATACAGTATTGATGTTGATTAGCTTCAGACACCTGACTTAAGTGCCTACATTAAGAAGCTAGGTGGCCTTCAGCTTCCTATTCAGCATAAAGGAAGAGACGTCCCCCAGGCAATTCCCAGCATGACTGTAGCAGTTGTAGCTGACTAACCTTGCAATTTAGGTTCTAATTTAAATGCCTGCTGTGCAATATGAAAACTCGTTTTGAAAGCCATGACTTTTCTTTGATGTGTCCTGCAAATTAGCAATGTCTTGTCACAGGGAAGTTATAATTAATCACAGTTAAGATACCAGACAAGTTCTGAGCCTGACTCAAGAGTGTAAGAAAGAGATGCTGATTTCAGTAGGCCCTGGAGACACAACTGGGCCTCCGTTAACAAGCAGCAACAAAGCAAGCGCCACTGTACTGAGCCAGCCAGTCTGTATTTCCCTGAAATACTTCTTTCTCTGCTGTCTCAAAGGTCATGGTGGCTTACAGATGTATATATGTGTGGCAGAAACACTCAGAGTAAAGTGGGATTGATGGGGTGAGGTGCATAAGATATGCCAATTTTTAGGGAATTCAGGTGCAAGGGTTCTAAAGTGGTAACTGAGACTTCTTCTCCCCAGCCCAGTCTTTAAAATGCCCTCAACAAGCACAGAGTTTGTTAGACAAATTTATTGTTTTGTTTCTTTTTGTATCTCTACCATGCCCCTTTTAACATTCATTGCTTGCAGAGAAACAGTTCTTCTCTTTAACATGCAGAGGACTGAACTGATCCGTGCTGTGTTCCTTTCTCTTGGACAAGCAACTCAAATTTCAAAACTACCTCATGGGTGCAGTTTTTCTTTCATGCACCATGCATCGTGCATAGAACATGATGAAGAAAAAGTATTTCCTGAAGTATTTTCTCTTAATAACAGTCTGAACTTCTCTGAGCAAAATAGTAGTCTGCACTTGTATTTATTTTTAAAAGCTTCATCTTACTTTGTAAACGTCGCTGAGAAGAAGTCATATATTCATGCTACATGGAACTTCTGGGTGGTTTCTCTCCTCATTTGTATATACATGCATACGTGAGTATAGAAAATACAATAGGTATATGGAGTATATAGCCATTTTTTTGTTTTTAATAAAGAAAAATGACCATATACTCCATATACCTGTTGTATTTTTAATAAA